GCGGCGCAGCCTCACGCGGCTCCCGGACCCTGGCGGCCGGGCTCCCTCGGCGGCCCCCGGAGCACGCCGGACGGGCTCCGGCCTCGCAGGCCTTTCGTCCCTCCGCGGGCTCTCCTCTGTCCCCCGTCGCCTCCTCTTCCCCTGCGGCTGTCCCTTCCCTGCAGGAAATAGGGCCTTTCGTGAAGCTTGGTCGGCGGGAGGGGCCGAGGTGAGCCACCTCTGAGTAATTGGGTGGCCAGGGCGGCTCGGGGCACCGTCTCCTGGGCCTGCCCTGCTGGCCGTCGTGGCCCCGATGCCTGCACAGCATGAAATAGGTGGGCGGATGGCTGTGGGGAAGAGAGGATCAAGGAGGGAATGGAGACGGAAGCCTTAGTTCAGCCCCGAGAGATTGTGCCCCTCCTACGCCAGAGCAGTTTGAATCTCCAGCTTAATGCCACCAATTTTCACTTTCCTCTGAACACCTTGGGCTTTGGACCTTGATGTCTCAGCCACGCACAAGTGAGTTTTGGCACCCCCCCCCCCGAGCCTACTTTTGCAGGAAGCAGTAGAAAAAACGAGTAGTTTAGAGCTAAGAAAAACCAGACACCGTAATGTGAAGTGTCAAAGTAGAGCCCCAATGACTGGAAGCGACTGTTCTTGTGGCCACACAAAACAAGTATTTAGAAGTTTTAAAAATAGAGGTGATTGTCACAGCCTGCTTGGTCCCCTAGCAGTTTGAGCTCAGGAAACTGACTTATTCTCACAGGAAGGATTTTTCTTGATTCAAATGGTGTTACAGGAAGTGCATTCCCCTCCCCCCCCACACTTGCCAGGGCAGGGTTGGAGGCTCATGCTGTATATAAATCAGGTTCTCAGTGTGTAATCAGTTGACTCAGCTTGGGAAGTCAGGCCCACTGCTTTTGGGAGGAGTCCTGCTCGCCCCTCCAACTTGCTTTTAAAATAAAAACCTTCAGACTTTGTTTGAACGGGAATGCCTTTTTGAAGGTGGAGATTCAAACTTGGATTTCCAGCCCCATCAGGATCACCTCGCTTGCCCTACTGTTGAAATGGGGTCAAGGGAAGGGTTCCCAGGAGGGGAGGTTGGTTCTGTAGTCTGGTGCAGGGCCTGGCTCATGGGTAGTCATTGCTGTGAAAGGGCTCCAAGGTCAGGCCTTTGGGCCAAGGACCCCCCCCCCCCATCCCACAAATGAGGAGACCAAGTCCTGGTCTTGTTACTGCAGAAGCTGGTACAAAGTCATGTGTTGGTACATCCCAGCCTAGTGGTAGGTTCCTTAAGGCTGTTTAGAAGTCTAGGCTTAGCACATCCATGGGATGGCAGTTTATCCACTAATGGCAGTGTCAGAGACCTTGTTACCATGGAGAGAGTACCTCTTGGGATTGGGGAAAGAGAGATTAGCAGACAAGGAGAACTGAAATCCCGGCAAATGTGGTGCCCAGGTTAAGAGGAAAAAGGAACTAATACTGAGTCTCCACCATGTGCCAAGAATTGGACTTAAATTAGATCATTGAATTTAAACTATAGACCTTCTAAGAGTCTTAGGACAGAGGAGAGGGGAACAGGGAGAGGGGTGACTGATTTAAGTGGGGGAGGGTAGAGAGGGGTACTGTCCTAGGGGAAGTGTGTCATGGTGGAAGATCACACAGATGAAGAAGGAACACAGGCTGTGCATCTATCGTGCTCTAGCTGTGTGACCTTGGATGGGGCACATGCCCTCTCAACCTCAGCATCCTTCTCTGGTAAATGGAAGATAGTCTTGTTGGCCTCATCATAGGTTCCATGGGAGCACGATGGGACAACATCAGCATTACTGGGCACACAGCAAGTGTCTCAGACATGCAGCTTGGTCTGTGGGTAGAGCAGCAGGAAAGGGAGGTAGAAACAACTTGGGTTTGAAGGCCAACTGGACAGCTTAGCTTTGTGACCTTGGGCAGATCTGAGCCTCAGTTTTGTTGCCTTTAAAATGGGAATAATGATTCTTGTGGCAAAGAGTTTTTTGGAATGAGGCCTTGTGGTGATTTGAAAGTATTAGTTCTGTTTCTTCCTTGATGAAGCAGCTTCTAGTCTTCTGGATCAGGGATCTGTCTAGAGCAGTGGGTTTGCACCCCCCTTTACTCCCTGTCTGATATCAGAGACAAAAATTTTTTTTTGAGTTGGAGTCTCACTCTGTTGCCCAGGTTGGAGTGCAGTGGCATGCTCACGGCCACAAAAGCCTTGACCAGCTAGGCTCAGGTGATCCTTCTGCCTCAACCTTCCAAGCAGCTGGAACTACAGGCCCATGCCACCACACCTGGCTAATTTTTTGATTTAGTGTGGAGATGAGGTCTCGCCAAGTTGCCCAGACTGGTCTTGAACCTCTGGGCTCAGGCACTCCTCTTGCCTCTGCCTCCCAAAGTGCTGGGATTACAGGTGTGAGCCACCATGCCCAGTGACAAAAAATTTTGATTGTCACAATTTGGGGGTGCTACTGGAATCTAGGGGTAGAGGCCAGGATGCTAGTAAGCATGCTACAAAGTGGGAAAGATCCCACGTCAAAGAATCCTGGGTCTGAAATGTCAGTAGTGCTGTGGTTGAGAAAGCTCTAGAGGAGATCAAGGACTGGGCAGGGTTCCCTCGGCCAACATAACCTGTTCTCTGGAAAGAGCTTAAAGCCAGCTGAGTATGGAGGCCAGCAGCACTAATGATATGTGATTGCATGAATACTCTCCCTTTTCCCAGATCTTACCAACTGCTGAGGGCCCTTGCCCATCAGTGGGTGTAATGATTGCTGGACAAACTGGTGCTGCAGAGAGTTAATTCTAAAGCAATGACTTTTGACCCATGGACTAGTTATATTATCCTTGCCCTTCCCTATCCATCTTCTGAATGATTTTGTCAATTGTACTAGGTTTAAGGCAAGAGCAAGCTAGTCTACATTTCTTTTCTTTTTTTTTTTTTTTTGTTGGAATCTTACTCTGTCGCCTAGGCTGGAGTGCATTGGCCACCGCAGCCTCAACCTGCTGGGCTCAGGTGATCCTTCCTCCTTGGCCTTCCAAGTAGCCGGAACTACAGATGCGCGCTACCACGCCTGGCTGATTTTTTGATGTATTGTAGAGACAATGTCTTGCCGTAATGCCCAGGCTGATCTCAAACCCACAAGGCTCAGGCATTTCTCTTGCCTCGGCCTTCCAAAGTGCTGGGATTATAGGCTTGAGCCTATAATTTTTTTCTTTTTTTTGAGTTGGAGTCTGTTGTCCAGGCTGGAGTGCAGTGGCACAGTGATGGCCACCGCAGCCTCAACCTGCAGGACTCAGGCGGTCCTTCTGCCTCAGCCTTCCAAGTAGCTGGAACTACAGGCACGCGCCACCATGCCTGGCTAATTTTTTGATTTATTGTAGAGATGAGGTCTTGCCAAGTTGTCCAGGCTGGTCTCGAACCCATAGGCTCAGGCAATCCTCTCACCTTGGCCTCCCAAAGTGCTGGGATTATAGGCATAAGCCACTGTGCCTGGCCTTACATTTCTTATTAAGCCTCTGGGACCTTGCTTATTGCTTTGGGGGCCAAGAAATTAGAAGAGTTATGAGGTAGACGTTATTGGTGACTGATATCAGACTGACCCTTGTTTGGCTGGGGGGACAAAACTCCAAAGCTGAAAGATAAAGGCAGTGGGCTAGCTGTCGAATGTAGAAGGTAGAGCAGAGCCAAGCAGGGGGCTGGGGAACCACGACTGGGAGTGGCTCACCTGGTTGTACAGACCTAGCTTGCTCTAGATGGACCCTGCACTAGGGAAGCCAAGAGATTGAGCTTTGCTCTGGAGGCCCTGTCCACACGTGGGTATCACTGCATGAGGGAGTAGAGACTCAATTGGACAGATGCCATTCCTTGTTCTATTTTTGAAACTTTTTGGCTGAAGCCAGTGTTTCACATGAGGAAATGAAAGTTGGCTGATGTAATTCAGTTTAAAATAGGTGTCACCTTTGGGGACCTAACCCAGATTGTAATTTTCTTTTGTGTGCTGGGTTTTCAGAACTCCGCAAAGAATGTGGTGTCTGGGTTGCAACTAAGACTTGGGGAGCAGGGTAGAAACTGGCTCATTTTGTTGGGAGGTTCTTTTAGGTTAACAGCCCTCTCCTTGTAGCAGTTGAGACCTCATTGATGTGGGTAGGTTTTGGAAGATAGAAGTTTTAGCACATCTTAATAGTTTGACTGATAAAAACCATTGGATGAAATGTTAGGAGGCCTCCATTTGTACTTTGATTCTTCCTGTTTTTAGAATGAAACAATGAGAATGACCTCTAGTTCTTATGCACGGTTGTTGTAAGGATTCAGTAGCGCACATACGGTACCAAGCACCAAGCAGATGCGAGCAAGCTCAGTCAGCTTGGACTGCAAGTCACCCTTCAAGGACAGTTGCTTTGAGGGGAAGCTGCAGCAGAAGGCAGAAGGAGGGGCTTGCAGAGCTGGTAGAGATGTCCTCCACCCTCCCCATGGCTCAGGAAAGCAACAGGCTATAGACAGACAATGCCCACCTAGAAGCTGGCAGCGGAAGGTGGGTGGAGTGGATAAAATCCCATCTGACTGCTCTCTTGAGCTCTTTTTGAAGTGAGTTTGTTAATGACAGTGTGGACATGCTTGAGCCTAGCCGTCCTTAACTGGTGGGATGCACGGGGGACATGCTTCGGGCGTTCCACGCAGCCTTGCGGAACTCTCCCGTCAACACCAAGAATCAAGCCGTGAAGGTAAAGAGGTGGTGCTGCGGTTCTGCGGGTGCTGGGACCAGGGCTGTGGTCATCTGTCTGCCCTGTGGGAGAGGGAGCTTCCTGGGGCTCTGGACAGCGTCTGTTCTCTCTGCACCTGTGCGAGTGAGCTGGCACTAGGCTCTAGGCAGCGCTTCTGCGGGAGCCTCCTGACCTTCCCCAGATGTTGAGCTTTCTCTGACATCAAAGCGGTCAGTGTTTATAATAACAGCTCCCCAAAGAAATGTTCGCTCCTCCCCAGGTCTAGTGGGGTGAGAAGCCACCCCAGCCCTGACTGATTAGCAAAATTAGCTTGCCCTGTGGGACTTAGTGGTGGTTACTTTCACAGGCTATTGCGTAGGCTTCATTTGCAAAGGATTTAAGTGACTTTAAGATGCCCTGCCTCTTAGAAACTAAGTAAAAAGATACAGGTGTGCTTCCTGCATCACTGAGGCTAAAATTTGGTCCAGGGAAAGGGGTCTCTGAAGCTGGGGTTCTGGCATCTTGTGACAGCCATTGGTGACACAAAGGTGCAGGGGAATGGCTCCTCTGTTCCTGGGTGCGTAGAGAGAGAGAAGCTGAGGCCAAGTAAACCTGTTTTATTTTGAAAAAAATGGACCCCCACCCCACCATTGTGATCTTATGTTGTGTAAGGCCTTGTTGGTGTCATAAAAAAGAGTGATGCTTGTCCCTAGCAAACCACTTATTATTGCCCTCAAAATAAGAGGAATACATGATTGGCATAAATAAGGAGTAATTTGAAATGTAAACCAATAAAGTAATTTTAGCTTACTTATTGTAACCATTCTAGATGAATTAGAAGCTGGACAGTGTTTCTGGTGACTGCTGACCACTTGGTTAAGTGTTCCTGCGCCCACGGGGGCGTTTAGCTGCGCCTGGGCTATGGCTCTGGGCCTCACTCATTTTCTTTCCTTTGCAGGAGCGAGCCCAGGGCGTGGTGCTAAAAGTGCTCACCAATTTTAAGAGCAGTGAAATTGAGCAGGCTGTGCAGTCACTGGACAGAAACGGCGTTGACTTGTTAATGAAGTACATTTATAAAGGGTTTGAGAAGCCCACAGAAAATAGCAGTGCAGTGTTACTCCAATGGCATGAAAAGGTATGTGAATGCATGACCCCCACAGGCAGCCTACTGACTTACCCTAAGGTTCAGATTAGGAGGCCAAATTTTCTAAAACAAACGTAGGAGAGTCTGCTAGGCATATGAGGTCAGGGGACGAGTCTAAGCATAGGGTATCTGATTAGTTACTGCTCCCAAGGAAGCACCTGGTGGGGATCTAGTGGCTGTGGTAACTGCAGTTGCTTTTGATTTTTAGCTGCTGATTTATGCCAGGCAGGACGGGGTACCCTTGGTACAGGACACAGGGGCAGGTGACATGGCATGGTAAGGTAGATGGGGAGTCCCAGGTAGGAGGGAGGTTTGTTGGTTGGTTGGGACTTCATGATACTTTTTTTGCATTGGTGGAGGCAGCTGCTGGGGGAGAGGGAGCGGGGGGTGGGGGTGGACTTAGAAATGCAGGCTGAGCCCTCCAGCCAGCTCTGAGGGCTTCCTGCCCTGGCCTGAGCCTCACCAAGCCAGAGGGGGCAGTGGGTAGAAAACATCACTTGATGTGGCCTTCACCATTGGTAGAAAGAGCTGATCCGCCCTTCACTTGTGTTGGTACAAGAGCAGGTCCTTTGGTCAAGCCTGTGTTGTGCCTGTGGGCCACAGCGGCCCCCTCCTCTGCACACCCTGTAGTGCGGCAGTCAGCACACCTACCACTACAGGAGACAGGCTGTTACTCACATGTTTTCCCTCCCGGGTTGCTCAGTGTTGAGTCTGAAGAGAGCTCTTACGGCAGTCAGTCCCCTGGGGCAGCCTGGCTGCGGGGCTGTGGTTGTGGCTGGTGGGCGTGCTGCACCTCCTCAGCCTCCCCTCTTCTGGGCTCAGTAGGTGAGGGTGGCTTGGGCTTGCGGGGAGCGAGCAATCCTCTGCATGGGATGGTCAGGCTTTTTTGTCCTTTTAGAGCAACTTGTTTGATGCCTGTCAGCCACACCAGCAGGCTGCCGTCAGTGGGCTTGTGTGTACGTCCGTGCCTAGGGCAGTGCTGGCAGGCTGGCAACAAAGAGCTTGTCCAAAGGGAAACTCGAAGGGCTCTGCCATCTGTTTGGTGAGTGTCCTCAAGCTGGTTCTGCCCAAGAGCTGGCAGCTCTCAGGAGCCGTGGCTGCAGGACAGAGCTCTTTCCCTAGAATGAGGTCTGTCATGGGGATCCTTTTTCAGAGGGTCTATGACATGGTGGGATCTAGGTCAGGGAGTGCCTGGCCCCATCTCCCTGGCAGGCTAGGCTCCCTCTTGGCCCGCCAGGTCTCATCTGACACGTTTCCTTTTCCTGCCCCCACAGGCCTTAGCAGTAGGAGGACTAGGCTCCATTATAAGAGTTCTTACAGCAAGAAAGACTGTTTAAAAAAAAAAGACTCATGTTACCTTGAGAAGAATTGTGGATGCCCAGGCTGGTGAAGAAGGGACTGACAATGGACCATCTTTCTAGGAACTCCCAACTAAACTATTTCAGGACATGTATCTGCTGAAATGTATTTTATTTTCAGGGTGGAGGGAGAAATTGTCTTACTGTTTCCTAAATCCTTTGCAGGATCTGATAGTCTATGCCTTTGTCTACAAGTAATGCAGAACTGACATTCTGTCTACTAGAGTGGCCGGCCAGCGTTGGTCAGGTGTACCTATGTGCACCGGGGGAGGGATGATTCAGGCAGGTGCAGATCCAAGGGCTGTGGTTAAAGGGAGAGTTTGTGTTTTTTGAAGTGGAAAAGACCCAAGAGTTTGTACAGACATCCTGTCTTCCCAGAGAAGGCAGCCACTCTTGGGTTCCTTGTAAAGTGCCTGCTGCATCAATAAAGCTCTTGGCTTATTAGTATATACATTGCAGTGTGTTTCATGTATATAAAAAAAAAAAAAAAAAAAAGGGTAACGAGTGGGATGGTAACGAATGAGAGTTTGTTCCAGAAACTCAGCGTGGAAGGGGTAGACGTGTCTCTGTTTAGCCATCCCTGGGGAGCGAGCATGGCAATCTACAGGCCCTCTGCCACAGCAGTACAGCAAGCCTCACCCTTGCCTATAGTGCTGCTGGCTGCTACAGAGAGGCATTGTGCTGAATAACTATTTATTGTTTCCTACTCCTTTGATTTGTATGTAATTTTGGAGCTTATTTAATTTAATAAAGTGCCAAACATTTAATAATTCATCAAGGCTTTAAAAGTCTTCAGTTTGTGATTGCACTTGGAATCTTTTGAGGGTGGGCCTCAGATATGCCTTGTCACCATCTCCCAATGCTGGGTCAGCTGTGTTGCAGGAGTATTCTTACTGCTGCACTGACAAGTTTTCTTTAAAGAACTAACAGGTCGGGCGCGGTGGCTCATACCTATAATCCCAGCACTTTGGGAGGCCAAGGTGAGCGGATTGCCTGAGCCTAGGGGTTCAAGACCAGCCTGAACAACTTGGCAAAACCTCATCTCTATAATGAATCAAAATTAGCTGGACGTGGTGGTGCATGCCTGTAGTTCCAGCTACTTGGAATGCTGAGGTGGAGGGATCAACTGAGCCCAGCAGGTGGAGGCTGCGGTGGCCACGAACATGCCATTGCCCTCCTGCCTGGGCAACAAGAGAGAGACTCCCAACTCAAAAAAAAAAAACCACAAAAACAAGCAAAAACTAACAGCCAGAAATAGAGAGCATCAGCTAACATATATGCATAATTTCATTCCCTATAACCAATAACAGTAAGCCTCTTGGAAGGGCAAAAATGCTTTTCTTTCCTTTTCAGCATATGAAATTGCAGCTTGCTTTTTGTCAGAGGTAAAGACTCCATTCATATTCCTGAAGTTCTTCTGGGTCAAATGGGCCTCGGATATAGACTCTGATCAAAGTGATACAATCTTCCCCTCTCCAGCCTGTCTGCAGAACTGCTGCAATTCTTGGGAGGCAAGACTAAGCTGTTGGTGTCATTAAATTACATACATTTATTCACTCAAACCCAATTTGGGGAGGTTCTTTCTGAAAGGCAAATGTTCTCTAGCCCTTGAAGTTGGCCTTGAAGCATTAAATACAGGATACCGTGTACTAGGATTGAACAAGTCAAAGAAATACTACACACCAAACTACATCAAGTCATCCACTGCAGCTGCATATGGATTGAAGAGCTTTAATCAAAAAGTGTATTGCACCACAAATGAATCTATAGCAATTTTAGATAATACAATCCCTATTTACAACATTGAAGGAGAGGTCAAGATCCAATGCTCATATAAAGGGCTATACATATTGTCTCTCTCACAAAGTTTTATACAATTAAAAGTGCATTAAATCACTTAGAATATTTACTCCACTCTTCCTCTTAAAGCTGAAGGAAATTTAACATGCAGGAGGAAAGCCTAATCAGTGAATTCTCCCTCAGTGTGTGCAGGCTTGGGAATAGGCCCCACAGCTACATCTTAAACAGCCGGGGAAGTGGGAGGTGGGGTGTGTGTGAGACCTGCTCAAGGACTGGAGAAGCCATAGAGGGTCATACCGGGCTTCCACAGAAGTATAGCTGCCGCTGGCACGCCTTGAACTACCCAGTCTTAGCGATTCTTTCCTGAAACAGTTGAAAAAAGGAAATCCTACTTTGAAAAGAAAGCTACCTCTTGCTTGTCAAGATTGCAGAACAGAAGGGACTCCTGTTTCATGTTCCACCAGGTAAATGGAAAACCGCATTCTAATCATGGGACAGACGTCTGCAAGGAAGAGCGCTATGAGGAGGCAGGTCGTGGGGAACGGCTGTTCAGATGGCAGAGAGCCTGAGCTGGGACCGAGGGGCTGCTGCCCTGGCTTGCTATTTCATACCTGCAGATAGTTGTTTTTCTGTGAGATTTATTTTTATATACATATTTTGGCCCTAAGCACAATTGAGAAACAACTTACACTATTGGATAACTCATAATAAATTTAGGAGCTCCAGCTATGAATTCATTTTTTTATTTAACCAATGAAACTTTAATCAAACGATAAATCAATAAACGCTTTTTCTTCAGATTCGATATTGTGGCTTATCCAGAACAAGGATGTTCCCTTTTCCTCAATAATAGTACCTTTTTTTTTTTTAATCAGTCACTACCAGAGCCATGTGCATGATCTGAAGTACTGCAGCCACCGGGGGCTGTCTGAATGCCATACGTGGATGTGGTGTCATTTGAAACATACGGGGTAGGATGAGGGAGAGAGTGGCTCCACACACAAAGCAGACTGCCTCATGTTTTGGTCAAGGCTGGGGGAAGAGCTGCTGCTTCCACCGAGTACAGCAGATAGTCCTTAAGTGGAGGACAGGCGATTAACATCTGCCCAGCGGTAGCACATCCCTGAAGCAAGGGCAAAGCCAACGAAACACCACCACTGCTTCAGAGAGCAGCAGATGCCACAGAATGCTACTGAAATTACAAAGGGACAGGAATTCCTATTTTATAAATAATTTCCTCTTGATGCTTGGATCTTCCTTTAAGAACACCAGTTAAATGGATTTTGTAAAACAGAAGACATGTTTATAATAGTGAAGAACTTTAGCTATAAAAAATAGTTTAAAATGGTTTACCAGCAACCTATCCAAGACAAGTACATTCATTAAAAAGGCAATTGAGTGTATTTGGTACTAAGGATCTTTTTACATATTTGTTAGTTATCTTAAGTAAAATGGAGATACCGTCTCAAAGTTGCATATTCTTCATCTACACTGGCCCTTAAAGATGTACACATCTGAAGTTCTAGGTGGTTTGAAAAACAAGTGAAATAACATTTTCTTGAGAGGAAAGTATAAAAAGCCTCTTCTAACTTGTCTGCATTCTAAAAAGCAACCCTCACGGACTTGGCTGTTCCTAGCAGAAGCAGGTGGGTTAGGCCTGCTGGGCACCATTTCAAAGGGCTGTCTCTACCTCCAGCGTCATCACATGATGACTCACTTGCCACCTGGCAGATGATCGCTTCAGCTGTAAGTGCTAACATGAAAAGTTACAGGATTCAGGTGCAGATGGGGTGCTGGCCAGAGCTGGGGTATTAGCAGCACTGTGGAAATCTGGACAGTGCTAGGACCCTCCCATTTGGTGACCAGAATGACACAGGATCAGCTAACCCCTGAGGTTCATGTCAGCCTGCAAGAAAGTGAGCCTTGAGTCTTGTAAACAATGTTTAGACACTTGTACAAAATACTGCAGTTACAGTGATTAAAAACCCACCCAGACTGGTGTGTCAGTGTTCTTTTCACAGAAAAAGAGTCAACCCATAGAGCTCCATCCTTGGGTAGTTCCCTCTAGGACCATGGTATCCGAGGGTTTGAGATAGATGGCCGGATGCTGCCCTTGGGAGCTGGTTTGGACCCAAACCACGACATCTGTGTTTGAAACAGAAAAGGCTCTTGAGACTTGGTGTAGAGAAAAGTGAACCAACCCCTCCCCCTCCCTGGGCCTATCCTCTTCCAGCCCGCATACATCCTGACTTTGGCTCTGAGCAGAGCAAGATGGTTTGAGTGACCAGTCTGTAGGCCCCATCCTAAGTATGAGAGGAAAATGAGGGGAAAAAGTGAATTGACAAGAACAAGGTAGTGGAACTGTAGGTAATTAACTGTAGGCAATTTTCTCATAACACTTAGGCAGATCTGTTTAGGTTTTTTTTTTGAGTAGGAGTCTCTGTTGCCCAGGCTGGTGCAGTGGCATACTCACAGCCACTGCAGCCTTGACCTGCTGGGCTCAGGCAGTCCCTCCGCCTCAGCCTTCCAAGTAGCCAGAACTATAAGCACGTACCACCACACCCAGCTTATTTTTCTTAATTTATTGTAGAGATCATTTCTACAACTTGTGAACTTGCCCAGGCTGGTCTCAAACCCCCGGGCTCAGGCAGTCCTCTCACCTCTGCCTCCCAGAGTGCTATGGGATTATAGGCATGAGTCACCGTGCCTGGCTTTTTTGGAATTCTTAAAACGTCTGGATGTAAGGCTAGACCTAGGGCTATAAATAAAGGATATCAATGAGAATGCTCTGAGAAATACAAGGCCAACTGGTCAAGTACAATACAGGCATCTGGGCACAAAGGGTGTCCTCACTACATACTGCCTAGGTCAGGCTCATCCTAAAGTGGCTCAGCTGAGCATCAGCCGTGACTGATTACCTGCCTCCAGAGCTGGTCTCATTTGCCCAGTGCTAACTAGTTTGAGAGGCCAGAACAGCAGACTAGAGAGCCCTACCTTATACTCCAGGGTTTCTTTGAGCATGTTTTCTTCTTCTTGGGAAAAGTTCAGCAACACTGACACAGCTTTTATTAGATGAAAAGCCTGAAACAAAATAAGTTTTGCTGCCATGGGCCTTGGTGGGAGTAAGGTGGGGGCAGGGACAGGGAGTTAGGGGGCTAAAGGGCAGTGTTTCCTATTTCCCTTGGTTAGTACGGACCAGGTGGTGGGTTAGGACCTGGTCCTCTGAGGTTTGACAGCAATGACAGGTGCTCTTCCTCCCCCTCCCCCCTGCGGGAACTGGCAGGGTCAAGAGAAATTAAATTCCTTCAGCTGTCCTCTTTGGCAGGATGGAGGAACGCTGGGCTGATTGAGTTCTCCAGCCTCTGGCCTCAGCATCCAAGTTAGGATTTAGGAGTGGAGCCCACATCTCCCACCAGGAGCCAGTTCCCTAGATGGTCTCCCTGCTCAGTGAGCAGGTCAATGCCAGCAGGAGAAATGACTAAGGGTCCACGTGGGTGGTCAAGTCAGAGTGCGGGAGAGGAAGAAATGGGCTGGGTGGGAAGCCCGGCAGGACAGACTGCAGAGCTGGGGCTCAATACCCAAAAGGCACCTCAGCAGCACTTTACCTCGGATTCTCGACAGGACATGAATTTTAAAACAACATGCTTAAGGTATTCAAAGTTGATCTCCCGAGCATCAGTCAGGTCAGCGTTATTCGTGACAGAAGGGGCCATGTTTGCCATCTCAGGTCCAGGTTTCTCCCGGACTTCAAAAAGCTCATTATCAGGTCTGATTTTCTGAAAAGCCAATGGAGAAGATGCTACATTAAAACCTTCAAGACAGGCCTAAAAATCACACGGGAGATGTATCTGGCCCAAGCTGTGGTCACCATTGTAGGGAAAAAAGGCTCCACCTGGGAAGGAAATGCCAGAGCCTGAGGAAGGCTCAGCATTTCCAGGTGGGGTTGACAACTGAGGGCAGAGTGAGGTCATGTGGGGAAACTCGGATGTTCCTTATCCGTGTCAAGACAGATGTTCCTGAGGCCTGGTACAGAGGGGCTGTTCTCGTCCCACGTCTGGCCAAGCACTTCGCCACACTCATACTGTACAGACATCCCTGCAATGACCTCACAGAGCAACCCCTATTTACAGGATTCAGGCTCAGGAAGGCAGGCAACGGCCAATCCACACAGCCGCTCAGAGGCATGTACAAGCTGGCAAGGCCATTGTCCCACCAGCTAACATCTGACTTCCCAGTGATCCCTTGCAACCAGCTTGGCAGGTTGGTGAAGGGAAGCAGCATCAGGCAGCAAGGGAGCCCAGGAGGACCAGAGAATCAGGGAGGGCAAAGGCAGTAGGGGTGGGTCTGAGAAACCTGGGCTGGCACACTGCGTGAGCACTCACCAACTCCTTCTGCAGAGTCTTTTTGAGTTCCAGCATCCTCTGCTGCATCTGCTTTATGGTCTGAGACAAACCCCCCACCCCCATAAAAAGCCAGTCGTTAGATGCACATTTCACCATCTTTAAGGTCTAAAGGAAACAGAACAGAATGATAACTCTTGGATCTCCAGATCCCACATGGCCATCAAGTGGTCAGAGTCCCTCTGTGCAGGATACAAATGACCCAGTGCTGCCCAACCCCTCCTGCGGGCTCATCCTTTCTGCCTGCTTCCAGTGCAGCCTACACCCAGCACAGCTGGAAATGGCTCTGGATGATAGATTCTGTCACAATTATATTTATGTGCTATGATCACCAAGCAGGACACTGAGGCCAGATGTATGGTTATTAGCATCATCACTGCTGCTCTCATGAAATGCCCTAATAATTTGCAATGCTAATTGTGAAAGGTAAAAGATCATAGTTTTTCTGTACAACTCACCAGCACTGGGTGACATATATATATATATATATATATATATATATATATATATATATATATAAACATATATATATAAAAACATATATATATATAAACATATATATAAACATATATATATATATAAACATATATATAAACATATATATATATATATATATATATTTTTTTTTTTTTTTTGAGTTGGAGTCTTACTCTGTCGCCCAGGCTGGAGTGCAGTGGCACACTCACAGCCACCCCAGCATTGACCTGCTGGGCTCCAGCGATCCTTCTGCCTCAGCTTTCTAGGCAGCTGGAAGTACAGGTGCATGCTATCACGCTCAGCTAACTTTTTTTTTTAAATTGTAGAGGCGAGGTCTCACCAAGTTGCCCAGGTTGGTCTCGAATCCGCGGGCTCCCAAAGTGCTGGACTGAGCCACTGAGCTTGGCCTATATATTTTAGTTATTTATTTTCTCTCTCTCTTTTTTTAAAGAGACAGGATCTGGCTATGTTGCCTAGGCTGGATTAGAACTTAGAACTCCTGGGCTCAAGCAATCCTCCCAACTCAACTTCTCGAGTAGCTAGGACTATAGACATGTGCAACCATGCCTAATTTTATTTTATATTTAATTAGTGAGTTTAGTTAGTATTATGAAGCTTACATATAATACTTATTTTATATTTAATGAGTGATACTTAGTATTATAAGCCTTAAATATAATGTGCATTCCATTATTCACTAGAAATGCTGAACTCTATTTTCTCAATTAAAAAACGTTATAGTCAGCCGGGCTTGGTGGCTCAGCCTGTAATCCCGCACCTTTGGGAGGCTGAGGTGAGTGGATTGCCTGAGCCCGCGGGTTCGAGACCCACCTGGGCAGGTGAGACCTCATCTGTACAATAAATCAAAAAATCAGCCGGGCGTGGTAGCGCACGACTGTGATTTCGGCTACTCGGAAGGCTGAGGCGGAAGGATCGCCGGAGCCCAGCAGGTGGAGGCTGCGGTGGCCGGGAGTGGCCACTGCACTCCAGTCTGGGCGACAGAGTGAGACTCCAACTCAAAAAAAAAAAAAAAAAAAAGGCGTCTGTGGTTTCAATTTGTATTCTCTTAGTTGACCATGAGGCTGGACGTTTCCCCCAAAATACATCTTTTGTTTTTAATCTTATTTTTATTTTTGAGTCAGAGTCTCACTCAGGGTCACCCAGGATGGAGTACAGTGGCATGATCATGGCTTACCACTGTCTCAACCTCTTGGGTTCAGGTGATCCTTCTGCCTCAGCCTTGTGAGCAGCTGGAACTATGGGCATTTGTCACCGTGCCCAACTAATTAAAAAAAATTTTTTTTTAGAGATGAGGTCTTGCTATGTAGTCTAGGCTGGTATCAAATTCCTGGGCTTGAGTGATCCTCCTGCCTCAGCCTCCCAAAGTGTTGAAATTACAGGCGTGAGCCACCATGCCTGGTCTATTTTATCTTATGTTGTTTCCTTGGTTTCTTTTGCTCATTCATTAACTTATCCAATAATATTGAGTCCCTGCTATGTGCCAGACACTGTTGTAGGGTCTGGAGAAACAGCAAATATTCTGTCCTCAGGAGGGAAAAGAGTCAATAAACAAAGACACAGTGTATCAGAAGGTAATAAGAGGCATAGAGAAAAAGATAGTGAGGTGAGCAGTTAGGAGGCTCTGGTGGTGAGGTTGGTCAGTGGTGGCAGGGGAGATCTTGCTGATAAAATAACACCATAAAGGAAGTAAGGGTAATCGGGGGAAGAATCTTCCAGACAGAAGGCTCAGTGAGTGCAAGGGCCTTCAGCTGGGAGGGTGCTTGATCTATTGGGAGGGTGCTTGATCTATTCACAGAAAGGCAAGGACCATGTGGCTGACGGAGAGAGGGGGACAGACGGGGCTGAGGTGAAAAGGGTAAAAAGGGGGTCGGACTACACAGGGCTTTGCAGGCCAAGGACTCTGGCTTGCATCAAGAGGTAGGAAGTCAACAGGGGCCTGGGAGAGAGAGGGACAGGGACTTTGAAGCCCAACACCATCTTCCAGAGAAGAGATGACGGTAACCTGGAGTAGGTGGCAGTGGTGAGCAGCAGTTAGTTCCAAGTATAGTCTGAGGGGAGAGCTGAAAGGATCTGCTAACTGTCTGAATGCTGGCAGAGAAGAACCAAGGGGGGTAAGGACAATTCCAAGGTTTGACCATGGACAGAGAAGGGAAAGAGGCTGTGGAAGTGAGGGAGCATAGCGAAGTGCAAGTGTTGGTGTTTCTAAGTTTAATATGCCTTTTAGACACACATGGAGAGAGACGCATGAGGCTGGAGACGGGGTGTGAAGCCAGCAGCGTAGGGTACAGTGAGATTACCAAGGGGAAGTGTCATGCAGTGGAGGTGCAAGGGCCAAACCTGTGGCCACAGCATGTAGGAACGTGAGGAGATTGGCCCATCAGAGGCGGTGGAGAAGGAGCAGCTATAGATGGGAGCTTCAAGAGGGAGAGAGATCAGTCCAATGCTGCCGACAGGCTCATCAGAGGGAAAGTAGGAACTGACTTTTGGATTTAGTTGGTCCAATGAGCTTGACAAGAGTTTTCGGTGGAGTGGTGTGGGAGAGCCTGGTGGGACAAGGTTGAAACAAGGAGGAGTGAATGTGGAGATGGCAGGTGGTTTTGGCACGTCAGTGTGGGAGAAATGCAGAGAGACATGGCAGCAGCTGTAAGGGATGTGGGTAAAGTGTGCTTATAAGATGGTCTGCATGATACTATCCATGTGAGTGGGTGGAATGTCTCCAAGAAAAAGCAAGGGGTAGCCGGGCTTGGTGGCTCAGCCTGCAACCCCGTGCCTTGGGAGGCTGAGGTGAGTGGATTGCCTGAGCCCGCGGGTTCGAGACCCGCCTGGGCAACTTGGTGAGACCTCATCTCTACAATAAAACAAAAAAATTAGCTGGGCATGGTAGCGTGCGCCTGTAGTTCCAGCTACTCGGAAGCCTGAGGCAGAAGGATCGCCGGAGCCCAGCAGGTCGAGGCTGCGGTGGCCGGGAGCGGCCACTGCACTCCAGTCTGGGCAACAGTGAGACTCCAACTCAAAAAAAAAAGCAAGGGGTAGGCTGACTACAATGTAGTACAAGTACACCAGAGAGGGAGGTGCATAAGGAGAGAGCCTAGGCAGGCAGTTGGATGATGTCACTGGAAGGCCCAGGTAGGGGCTGTGGAAATACTCTTCTCAGAGAAGCAGGATGCTAGCGGAAGAGCAAGGATGGGAGAGGCAGGATTGGAGCTGAAGAGAGAAGAGGAGGTAGAAATGAAGCTGGAATAAGGGCAGTGGAGCACAAAGGCCCTGGGAAGAGCCCCAGGCTTCCTGGAGGACGGTGGTGCTGAGCTTCATGGAGACCCACCAGTGTGACTGCGCATTCCTCAGTCACACTGGGCTCCAGGGCTGCGTGCATGGAGCAAGGAAGACTCGGGTTTAACCAGAGACTTGGCCGGGACTGTCTGGAAAGGGAGAGATGCCAGAGAACTGAGGGTGTTAGGAAAGCCGCAGTTGTCACGACAGATTGTGGACTCTTAGCTAAAGAGGCAAGAAGGCTCCACGGTCAGTGAGGCTGAAAACTCAACAGACAGAGGTTCTGTTGGGACACATGAAATTCGCCAACAGGGAAAACAAAACTTGAGTGTTTAGGAATGCAAGCTGAGGTGGTAAAACGAGAAAAGCAAGGCAGTCATTTCCATAAAGGTTAGGACTGTAGTGACTGGCAGAACTGTGAGGGCCACCTGAGAGGGCTAAGCTTCTGGAATGTTGGTGGTGTCCTGATTTGTGTTCAGAGTGTGTTTGCTTTTTCCTGATTTATTGAGCCACGTATTTGTTTTGTACGCTTTCCTGTGTGTAACTTATATTTCACAGCAAGAGATTAAATGAGAGAGAATGAACACTTCCCCTCTTGTTACAGATCTAAAAAAACTACACACAGTTCAGGGGCAGGATTTCAGGCCAGAACAATAAGCAACCAGCACACATAGGACACTTTAAAAACCAGGTTCAAGACCAGGCATGGAGGTTCACACCTGTAATCCCAGAATTTTGGGTGGCAGAAGTGAGAGGATTGCCTGAGCCCAGGGGTTCAAGACCAGCTTGGGCAACATAGCAAGACCTCGTCTCTACAATAAATTATTAATAAAAATTAGCCAGGTGTGGCAGCACATGCCTATAGCTTCAGCTACTTGGAAGGTTGAGGTGGAAGGATCGCCTGAGTCCAGCAAGTCAAGGCTGTGGTAGCCATGAGCGTGCCACTGTATTCCAGACTGGGCGACAGAGTGACTCCAACTCAAAATACCCAAAAAACCAGGATCAAATGAGACCCTGAATTTACAGGTACAGAGGCCGGGGGTAGCAAAATCATGACATTTAGTGAGCTTCTACCAAATACCACCAAAAAGTTTACAGGGAAGTTAATAAACACTTTCATTTCATTCCACTTGCCCCCTCCAAAACACTTAAAGACAAGAATCAGTGCTATTCCTTCACAGCTGTAGACAGGAAGTGCAGAGGTAAGGGGACTGACCCAGTGGCCTGGCAGGGACAGCAGAGTCAGTGGGGAAACACTTGGGCTTGCAGCAGCTCAAGCTCTGGCACTCAGACAGTACTTTATGGCAGTGCGGGGAGAAGAGGACTGGGGACAGTGTGAGAGGACAGCACACAAGAGGCGAACAGTTGGGGAAAGTGCTTCTGATGAAACAGGTCATCTCCCCAAGAGGTTCCTGTAGCACCAGCAGGACCCTCTGACTGAATCATTCTAGGACAGGGACAGAGTGGAGATACAAACAGCTGAGGCAAAGGGCATCCTCACCTTATTTTTCTCTGTAAGCTGCTGCTCCAAGTCCTGTTTTTCCTTCTGTAGCTGCCCCAGATCCATGGTCCCAACCTCACCATTTGGTGTTCCTCCTACAGCTGGACGCTGGAACACAGGGTCCTGCATGGTCTTCGAGGTCACCTACAGAGTGGTGGCAGCAAATTGAGAGCCACAACAGGCAAGGTGAGCTGAGCCACAAGTGCATGGGACAGGGGAGCCAGATTTGTTCACTGGTGTAGCCTGGTGTGCTCCAACAAGGAACTGGCCAGGAACCAAATTCTAACTATGGAGAAGATCCTGCCCAGAGAGACAATTAGCTTTCCATGCAACTAGCCTTTGCTCAGATGAAGGGGGTTTCTTTTTTCTTTTGAGTCGGAGTCTCACTCTGTCACCCAGGCTGGAGTGCAGTGGCACACTCACGGCCACCGAAGTCTCGACTGCTGAGCTCATGTGATCCTTCAGCCTTCCAAGTAGATGGAACTACAGGTGTACACCACCATGCCCAGCTAGTTTTTTGATTTACTGCAGAGTTGAGGTCTCACCAAGTCACCCAGGCTGGTCTCGAACCCTTGGACTCAGGCAATGCTCTCACCTCCACCTCCCAAAGTGTTGGGATTACAGGCATGAGCCACCATGCCTGGCAAAGGGCGTTTCCTTCTGCCCTGCACATTGACAGGTATTGCCACCTACGATGGGCTTTTCAGACTTCACAACCTCCTTGCCACTTGAGTACCCTCACTTGTTTCTTTTTTTTTTTTTTTTTTTG